CACTATTAAATAAAATGTTAGACACCTTGGAGGGCATGATCCTAAAGTAGACATTTAGGGTTTTTGTTTGCCTTTTAGACTCCTAACACTTCTTTAAGCTCTTCTTTGTGGTCTCTGGGCACCTGTGCTATCTCGTGGTGGCAGAGAGGCTGCATGCATATGGACAGGTTTAGAGGGAACCCTACTTAAGTGCTGTCCTTGGTCACTGTTTTGCCACTTAACTACTACATCCGTGTTCAAGATATTTAACTTCTTGCAGTCTCAATTTCTTTAAGCTGTAAAATGAGGTCAATAGTGCCCATCCTCTTAGGGTTGGTAGAACTTTTAAAACTAAGCAAAAATGTATAAATGTGTTTAGCATAGCACCTAGCACTGTTAGTGAATGAGATTAATTCCTCCTTTTCTAGTAGAATTTTACCGTGATAGCAGTTTTTACCTTCCTCTTAAGAATAACTAAAACGTGTGTAGAATCATGCATCCAAAGCAAAATAGACAAGATTGAGGTGCCTCAACCTGCAGATGTTCAAATTTTACTATGCTGATTTGTTTTGTGATATGATTAGATGGAACACTTGATTAAAGTGGGATTCTCAGTCTTGGTTTTGTTTGTTATTGGAGATTTCCTTTTCCCGATTACTACTATTTATAGATTTTATTTAAGTGGGTGTATGCTTAATTCCCTTTGAGTTCTGCAGTGCAGTTTGCACAGGCTGATGTTTATATCTGCTCCAGTTGTGCAAGAAGTGGAAAATATCCTTTTTTTAGAACAGATCACATGTGCTTACTGTCAGGAATAGGACCTCAGTGTAAAAAAATGTATCTTGGGACAAATCAAAGTTACTAAATTTCCCCCTCCAACTGCTTTGTTTCAGAACTGGCAGTATTATGATAAATAATAGGAAAAAAAAATCCTCGGCTACTTTTTTTTTGTCATCTTTCAAGGACAATAAGCGAGAGTTTCATTTGTTTTTTTGTGTGTATGTGTGTGTGTTTGAAGTATGAAATGTACTTTGCTGAGGGTTTGTCTAATCGGAATAAATTACAAAAATATGTTTGACTACACTCCAAGTATGCATTATTTGGAGAAAATAATCATCAAGACAGGTCAAAGATATTAAATGCAGTCACCACAAGCTTTTGATATTGTAAAAGCAAATTTGCAGTTTATTAGAAGGTTTTTGTGAGTCTAGTGAACATTGTGTACTCTGAGGATAAGAATTATACCAAGGAATAAGTCTACATCTTTATTGATACCAGTGAGGTTGAGAAGACCCACAAGGAGGTCTGGGATCTCTGTTGAAATTTCTTCACCTCCCGTTCTATTGCAAAGGATCTTGGCAGAAGGACCAGGTTTGGCTTCTTAATGGTAAGCTTAGTTTTCTAGCCCACTTCTGAAATGTGGCTTTCTTATTTCTTTGCCTCCTCTTTCCCTCCTGTGGCTTTGGATGCTGTGAAGAGTAAAGAAGTGTACCTTTGGAGTGTTCACCTGAGACCTCTGTCCTGGGATTCAGAGTGATGAGGCTTTTATCTGTAATGGCGAACATCTCTGCAGACTTCTCAAGCACTGGGCACTGAGTGTCAGGCTCTGTGCTGGCCGTAGGGAATCAAGTGGAGAAGCAAATGCATTCCTACTAGCATGGTGCATACATCTTGGAGGTGGGGCACAGTTAATAATAAACCAAATACATGAGCAAGATAAGTTTTGCTAACTGCTATGGAAATCAAACAGAGCATTATTGGTAGAATGTGCCTGTGAAAGAAGGGGACTTTTTATTAGATTGGGTAATCAGGAATGACCTGTTGGAAGAAGTGATTTTGAGGCAAGACTGAATGTCTGACATAAAGGTACAAATCTAGACACTACCATGTACTAGCTCTGTGACTTTGGTCAAGTGGTACAACCTTTGTGAACTCCAATTTCTTCTTCTGTAAAATGGGACAGTTGCCACTTGCAAGGCTGTTGTGAAGATAAAAGGTAACGTATGTAAAGCAGCTGAAGTTAGACTTGAGGCTTAATAGGTGTTCAGGGCTACCCACAGGATTGGTTGAAGTTAATATATGAATAGTGGAAAAAGAAACATAGACATTAATCTTTGTTATAACTCAGTCTTAAGTGTTTTCCTAATGTTGAGTGAGTCAGAGACTCATGCTTGTCTTTATAAACCTAATCCTGGACTGAAAGAGGAGATGGGTCTTGTTATTTTTACTATCCTTTCTTTCCTCCAGGATCATCCTACTTGATGTCATCCCTTGTTCTCCTGACTGTTGTTGTCCTGACATTATTCATGTCTGACCATTCTTAGCCTAGGTACAGTTTTTGGCGCTGGATTTTTAATTACTTTTTTGGTGTTAAGGAGAGGTCCAAGTAACTGAGGATTAAAAAGGAAAGCCTGAGATTGATTTCACAAAACATACACGCCCACCATGAACAAATAACCAGTGTAGAACTCCTGACTCCTAGTCCTGTGTTTCAGTCCTGAGATCACACTTCCTGTCCATTCTGCTGTGAAAATGTCAGTGTTGGTGCAGAAACAAAAAAGAAGAAGTTCTCCTCCTACACACCACCTCCAGTGTTCACGAACTTTGACATCCACAGGCAATGGTGTGTATTTAATTTGACTTTAAAAAAACTCTTCAAAGCATTTGGATTTTAGTAGCTGTGTTCTTTGATTCAAGTACCCTTAGATTGATGACTTTCTTTTTTTTTTTCTTGAGATAGAGTCTTGTTCTTTTGCCCAGGCTGGAGTGCAATGGCACGATCTTGGCTCACTGCAACCTCTACCCTGGGGTTCAAGCAGTTTTCCTGCCTCAGCCTCCCAAGTAATTGGGATTACAGATGTGTATCCCCATGCCTTGCTAATTTTTTTGTATTTTAGTAGAGCACCTCTACTTGTTGACCGGGCTGGACTTGAACCCCTGACCTCAGGTGATCCACCTGCCTTGGTCTCCCAAAGTACTAGGATTACAGGCGTGAGCCACTGTGCCTGGCCAGAGTGATAACTTTCAAAAGGAAAAATCCTGAGTCGTGTGAGAACAAATATTTTAAATCTAAATGCATACCCTATAGAGGGCACTGGTATAATTCTGTCGTATAAGAAATTGTGCCTTATTGAGCAATTTCAGGAAGGGATCTGTGGTCTTCACCCTCCCCACCCCTGCCTCTTCTCCAAAGTGGGGTAACTTGCTGAATCATTCACACACATTTTTCAGTTTTTCCATGTGATTAAGGGCATCATTGGAAAAGTGGTTGTCCCCACTATTGTGAGAACACATAGCTTGCATTTGTAGAATAGGTTTCCTTCTGGGAAGGTTGACTTGTCTCGATGGGAAGAAGACTTGAGGCAGAGAGGTTTCACTTAGCCTGGTGGCTGTGGTTATATATGAAATTATGAAATGACAGACAGGAAGGCTATTTTTACTTTGGTACCTTTACCATAAAATGTTCCCAAATACTAACTGGTTCTTGGAGGCATGTTTTTCAAAAATATACTTTTTATTTTTACAGCTAAAGATCTGAAATTTGGTGAAAGAAAATGCTCATGGAAATCGTAAAGATGGTTTCCTTGTTTAACTCAGGACCAAGCTCAGTCCTGGTGAAGGCTACCAGAGAACCTCACTGAGATGTAGCCGCATTGTACCTCTTGCCTGCAGTGTGTCCTAAATTGGTGGAGATAGTGTTCTAAAACTTTCATGAACTAATGCACCGATATGTCATTGGTCAAATTTTAACATTCCCTTCCATCCAAAAGACCAGGTATATTTTTGTTATTGCTTTGTTTTGTTTTTAGCATTTGAATTTTTTCAGTGAAAGGTGGAAAGGTATTATTTCAATGTTAGCTTTGCTCTGTTGTATTAGTGAGCCTGCATAGTTGCACCATCTAAATTTAGGATGTTGGCACCTCAGCCAATAAGAACCCGTTGTAACTAATTCATAATGCTTTTGGCAGAGAACGCCTATGAATAAATATTAAAATAGTGTTGGCCAGTTTAGGCCATTTACTTTCAAGGGAAGATGGTGACCCCAACTATGCATTCTTGAAAATTTTATTTATTTATTTTTAAAGGAAGAGTTTATACTAGCTTATATGAAGTAATACCTAAAAATATAAGCAGCTGGCATGATTGCTGGTCACATTCCAAATCAAGGTTTACCCATTTGCTGCAAAGAAGTATGCTTGAAGGATAACTTGTAAGAGGTTGGCCACCGGCTTGTGTGTGTAATCAATCAGCGTGTAGACTTTTTGGAACTGCACCTTGTATCATCTTAGCACGGTAATTTTTCCACTGGTCTTTGGGTAGGTACACACTAATAATGTTGTCTATCTAGGCAAATATGGGATGAGTAAATGCTAAATGATAGGATTTTGGAAGGTAGTTCTAACAATACTGATTATATATGTAAGTTTTAAATCTTTGTTGATTTGGCAATTAATGAGAAGGTTTGATGGTGCTTGCTTGGTCTTAATATCAAAATCAGTAAAGTGCACGATGTAACGGCAGGGAGCTGAATGGCAAGGATAATTAATTGGGATTTGTTTTTGGGAGTCAATGATACCACATGCCAATCTGCTGTCTTTAGGGAGTCTCTCCCTAATGTAACCCCTCTTTCTAACTTTTGGGTTCATATACCTCATATCTTTCTGAACAGGTCAATTTCATGGTTCCAGGAGTGGAGAATTGGTTATAGGCCTGGCCACATATCCTTGTCACAGGGATTAGTTTCATGGAGGTAAACATTGTTCAAAGTGAATCCCAGGATTTTCTTGGGTCCTACCGCATCAGTAATGTAGATCTGATAACTAACTTTCTAGAGGAAATTAGGGAGCTTTCTTTTCTTTTCTTTTTTTGTAATAGTGAGTAATTATTATCAATGATTATCTCTGGGCTGACAATACAGCAATACAAGTAACTCTTCTTTTTTTTTTTTTCAACTAAATGTATTCTGATCTGGGGAATTTTTTATTTCAAAATAGCAATACAAGAGTATTTAATATGGAGATATGAGGTAAATCATATAATCATATAATCATTATCCTAATGATTTGTGGTAAAATCATTAGGGCAATGGCTCTTAAACTCAAGTGTGCATCAGCATTCCCTGTAGAGCTTATTAAAACAGATAGCAGGGACAGAAACTCCCACAGTTTCTGTTCAGTAGGTCTGGGGTAAGGTCTGAGAATTTGCATTTTGAACATGTTTCTAAATGTTGCTGAAACTGAACTTGTTTTCAAAGTGTCTGGGAATCACACTTTCAAAATCATGGCACCAAGGTCGTGGTGATGATGTTGGGGGATGATTTGCTTGATGAACTTGGAATAGAAAGCATTGCATATATGTGGTATACAAATAATATATAGGCTTGGGTGACAGAACACTCACATTTACCATGTTTAATCAGAAAATGAATTTATTGGTTAAATAACAGAAAAGTCTAAAGATGGGGCTAACTAGGCCTTTCAAGGATAGGATTCTTGGTTATGTAATATGATCTCTGAGTGACTTAGAGTTAACCTAGCTTTACTACCATAAGGAACCCTGGCCCAAATCTCAAAAAGGGGTTGTATTTTAATCTACACTCTTAAAGTGTGAAACTTGAAGCATACTGCAGTCACTTGACTGAAAGTTTTGGTTGAGAAACAGCGTGATGGTGGTTTTGGGCATGTCCACATGACCAAATTGTTTTTCACAAAACTTCTGCTGAATAAAATGTGAAATACTACTGTCAGCCTGTTTTCCTGTCTTAATGAATTCCAGATAGTTTGTAGAGTGTGGGAGCTTCCAAAACAGAGAGGTGGAATGGATGTGACCAGCCAGCATCTGTTTTGTCACAAATGAGGATGTCCTGACATAATGGAATCGTTCCCCTTGTTCTGAATCTCACCAAGCTGTTCACTTCTCTGATCATGAGGTACAGACTGTGAGAGGGAAGGGCAAGGCCAATGTCATGTAACAGAAGCCGAAAGAAAAATTCTAGATTCCTTACTTACCAGGAAATTCAGCCTACCCCTATGTTTCATCCACTCAGACCCAAGCATTTTGATTTTTTTTTCCTGCATGTTGATGTTCTTTAGAGAAAAAGTCCTGATCTGTTCTTATTGTAAACTGGTTAAGAGTTCCAACCAGTCAGATAAGTCTAAACTACAGAGGAAGACAGATTTGAACTTTAATTCCAATTTGGCCACTTACTGGCTATATATATATATCTTTGGACGAGTTATTCTTGTGGCCTCTGTTTCAGCAGAGGCAAATATGGTTTGGATCTCTGTCTCCACCAAATCTCATGTGAGACTGTAATCCCCAGTGTTGCAGGTAGGGCCTGGTGAGTGAGTCTTCATGAGATCTAGTCTAGTCATTTACGAGTGTGTAGCACCTCCCCTGTCATTCTTTCTAGTTTCTGCTCTCACCATGTGAGATGCCTCACTCCTTCACTCCCCCTTTGCCTTTTGCCATGATTTCAGGTTTCCTGAGGCCTCCCCTGAAGCTGAGCAGATGCCAGCGTCATGCTTTCTCTGGAACCATGAAGCACCGTGGTTTAATTACCCCATGGAACCATAAGTGAATTAAACTTCTTTTCTTTATAAGTTACCCAGCCTCAGGTATTTCTTTATAGCAATCTGGACTAATATAGAAAGTTGGCACCAAAGAGTGGGGCATTGCTATAAAGATACCTGAAAATGTGGAAGCAGCTTTGGAATTGGATATAACAGGAAGAGGTTGGAAGAATTTGGAGGGCTCAGAAGATGACAGGAAGATGAGGAAAAGTTTGCAATTTCCTAGAGGCTGGTTAAATGGTTGTGAACAAAATGCTGGTAATGATATGGACAGTGAAGTCCAGGCTGAGGTGATCTTGATGGAAATGAGGAACTCATTGGAAACTGCAGTAAAAGTCACTTTTGTTATGTGTTAGCAAGTAGGTTGGCTGCATCATGCCCCTGCCCTTGGGATCTGTGGAACTTTGAACTTGAGATTTATGATTTAGGTACCTGGAAGAAGAAATTTCTAAGCAGCAAAGTATTCAAGATGCAGCCTTGCTGCTCCTAACAACCTATACTTATATGTATGAGCAAAGAAATTACCTAAATTTGAACTAGTATTTAAAGAGAGAGCAGAGCATAAAAGTTTGGAAAATTTACAGCCTGGCCATGTGGTAATAAAGAAAAGTCCACTTTCCGGGGAGTAATTCAAGAAGCCTACAGAAATTTGCTTAAGTAAAAAGGGGACAAGTGCTAATATCCTAGACAATGGGGAGAAGGCCTCAAAGGCATTTCAGAGAACTTCATGACAGACTCCCTCATCATATGCCCAGAAACCTAGAGGGACTGAATGGTTTCCTGGGCCAGGCCCAGGGCTCTGTTTCCTTGCATAGCCTTGGGATACTGCTCTCCATATTCTAGTTGCTGCAGCTCCAGCCATGGCTCATAGGGGCCCAGGTACAGCTTGGACCACTGTTTCCGGGGGTGCAAGCTATAAGCCTTGGTGGCTTCTATGTGGTATTAAGCCTGTAGCTACACATAGTGCAAGAGTTGGGGCTTGGGAGCCTCCACCTAGATTTCAGAGGATATATGGAAAAACTTGGATATCCAGGCAGAAGCCTGCTGCAGGGACAGAGCCCCCTTAAAGAAACTTTACTAGGATAATGCAGAGGGGAAATATGGGCTTGGAGCCCCTATGCAGAGTTCCCACTGGAGCACTGCCCAGTAGAGCTGTGAGAAGAATGCTACCATCCTCCAGACCCCAGAATGGTATATCTACTGGCAACTTGTGTTCTCAGCCTGGAAAAGCGACAGGCAGTCAATACCAGTCCTTGAGAGCAGCTGTGGGGGCTGAACCCTGCAAAGCCACAGGGGTGGAGCTGCCCAAGGCCTTGGGATTGCACTCATTGCACTAGTGAGCCCTGGATGTGAGACATAGAGTCAAATAAGGTTATTTTGGAGCTTTAAGTTTTAATGACTACCCTGCTGGGTTTCGGACTCACATGGAACCTGTAGCCCCTTTCTTTTGGCCAATGGAACAGGACTACTTACCCAAAGCCTATACTCCCATTTTATCTTGGAAATAACTTAATTGTTTTTGACTTCACTGGCTCGTAAGCAGAAGGGACTGGCCTTATCTCAGATGAGACTTTGGACTTTGGAGTTAATGCTGGAATAAGTTAAGAATTTGGGGACTGTTGGGAAGGCATGATAGTATTTTGCAATGTGAGAAGGAAGAAGTATATAGGATTTGGGTGACCAAGGGTGGAATGATATGGTTTGAATCTGTGTCTTCACCAAATATGTAATCCCCATCTCAAATTGTAATCCTCAATGTTGCATATGGGGCCTGGTTGGAGGCAATTGGATCATGGAGGTGGTTTCTCATGAATGGTTTAACAACATCCCCTTGGGGCTGTTCTTGTGATAGTGAGATCTGGTCATTTAAAAGTGTGGCACCTTCCCTGTCAGTCTCTCTCTCTCCCTCTCTCTTTCTCTCTCTCTCTCTTTCTTTCTTTTTTGAGACAGAGTCTCACTCTGTTGCCCAGGCTGGAGTGCAGTGGTGCAATCTAGGCTCACTGCAACATTTGCCTCCTGGGTTCAAGTGATTCTCCTGCCTCAGCCTCCTGAGTAGCTGGGATTACAGGTGCACACCATCATACCATGTTGGCCAGGCTAGTCTTGAACTCTGTTCCCCTTGGCCTGGCAAAGTGTTGGGATTACAGGTGTAAGCCACTGTGCCTGGCCCCCTGTCACTCTCTCTTTCTCCTGCTCCCACCATGTGAGATGCCTTGCTCCCACTTTGCTTTCTGCCATGATTTTAAGTTTCCTGAGGCCTCCCTAGAATCCAAAGAAATGCCAGCGTCATGCTTCCTGTACAGCTTGCAGAACCATGAACCAGTTAAATCTCTCTCTCTCTCTTTTTTTTTTTTGAAATAAATTACCCAGTCTCAGGTATTTTTTTTTTTTTGGTAGCAGTGTGAGAGTGGACTAATACAGAGGCTAAAAGAGGATACTGCATAATAATATGATCTAAGTTATGCGGTAATAATACACATTAAAAGAAATATATGGGTGGAGTGCTCAGCCCAACGCTTAGCTTTTAGTTCCCTCATTCTGATTACCTCTGTATCTATAGCATCAATGAGGTATTTGACTTGAACTTCTAGTTTTAGACACCTTAATAAAGAAAAAAAATGACTCAAAGAATATGGGGGTTGCAGGGAGAGGATCTATAGAACAACAGGGAGGAAGAGGGTGAGGGAGAAAGGAAGCTAAATAGTCTTTAAGTTAGGTAGTCAGCGTTAGGTATTTGGGAGTTGATACAGGTCAAATAGTGGCAAAAGGTGGGATGCCTAAGAGAAAGATATTTAAGGATGGCACATGCTATTTACATGCATGGTATTACTTTTGTTGCCAGAACGATTTTTGTCTTTTTCAACATGTTTCCTTTAATCATAATTATAGACTATATGTAGCTAGGTGGAGGAATAAATAATGAAAAGCACTAATTGGGGTTACACAATACCAGGGCTGTGTAGCATCGCTGTCTCAACATAGACATCTCTAATTCCTAACTGTCCTGTTTCAGCCTTGGCCATAGTGACTTCATGCCTTATCTTTTCCCACTTGACCTGGCAGTCTGTTTATATAGTTATCTTTATCCAATATAAGCCTTAAGGCCCTATATTCTTGAGCCTCACAATCTTTATATCTTTCACTCTTCTAGGATTTTTTTTTTTTTGTGTGTATAATAGCAGTATATAGTCACTTTAGAGACTAGGATCTGAGTTTTCAGTGTTTTTTTCTTTTCCCCACACCAATATGATAGTTTGCTTTCCTTGATCATCACACAGTTTCTATCCTAAAAACTGTGGCTTAACTGGTCACTAGAAAACATAAAGGGGTAAAAAAAAGCAGAAAGGGGGGTTAGCCCAAATGTTATCCATCTTTCTCAGGGGAGAGATTTCCATTATATTACACATGTATGTGGATACCTTCATTAGCCATTGACTGAACTGTAACTTGGACAAAAGGGCGCCTACCTCATTGCATAGCTGCGAAGATTCAATAAGGTGATGAGATGCTACCTGTAGTAAGGTTACATTAGAGACCAGCTGCTGCTGTTCACCTTACTGCTGTTCTTCCTCCTATGCTATGGTTATTGCTTATCTCTGCCTATTGCTGTTTTGTGCTACTAGAACTTAGAAGTTTGCATAAGAATGGCAGAAACAGTTAATCATAGAAACATTTCTCTCTGCAGGTGGTATTGACTCTCTCATTGCCTTGTCACTCATTGTTCAACTCCTATGTATGAGAAAGAACATACAGTGTTTGGTTTTCTGTTCCTGTGATAGTTTGCTGAGAATGATGGTTTCCAGCTTCATCCATGTCCCTGCAAAGGACATATACGCATTATTTTTTATGGCTGCATACTATTCCATGGTGTATACATGCCACATTTTTTTATCCAGCCTATCATTGATGGGCATTTGGTTTGGTTCCAAGTCTTTGCTATTGTGAATAGTGCTGCAATTAAACATATGTGTGCACATGTCTTTATAGTAGAATGATTTGTAATCCTTTGGGTATATACCAACAATGGGATTGCTGGGTCAAATTGGTATTCTGGTTCTAGATCCTTGAGGAATTGCCACACTGTCTTCCACAATGGTTAAACTAATTTATACTCCTACCAACAGTGTGAAGCATTCCTATTTCTCTACATCCTCTCTGGCATTTGTTGTTTTCTGACTTTAATGATTGCCATTCTAACTGGCATGAGATGGTGTCTCATTGTGGTTTTGATTTGCATTTCTCTAATGACCAGTGATGTGAGCCACATTCTTGGCTGTATAAATGTCTTCTTTTGAGAAGTGTCTGTTTATATCCTTTACCCACTTTTTGATGGGGTTGTTTGTTTGTTTCTTGTAAATTTGTATAAGTTCCTTTTAGATTCTGGATATTAGACCTTTGTCAGATGGATAGATTGCAAAAATTTTCTCCCATTCTGTAGATTGTCTGGCAAGTTGTTAAACCTATATTAGCACTGGGTTGTAGCCCAGGAGTCTTCCAGACCACTTCCCCCAACTATCAGATGTTGTGTGCATAGAAACGAGATTACCAAGTTTGACTACCAACTAAAGTGAAGCATAATCTATCAGAATCCATATGTGTGTATATATATATTCATACAAACTTACGTAGGATTCTCAAGGCAGTATTTTTCAAAATATTTTCACACTTTCTCTAGTATTCTTACTAACCAAAACTGGACTCTTGGTTAAACAAGTTCCCATCCAGAGTTTTATAAGGAAAGAGGAAAAATGAAATTCTCCTTTTTTTGTGTAATTGAAACAAAAAGACAAACACACTGAAGAAAAAGACAGACAGATGTAGGTGCTGTAGAGTAAGTGCTTATGTGTTCAGAGAAGCTGTAAGCACAGTAGAGAAGGCAGCCGAGGAGGACTGGTCAGAAGTGGACTTGTGTGTTGGGCTTCTGAACTCTGCATTTTAGTGAGAGTACAGGATGAATCTGCTGTGTAGGCTGGTGTTGAAAGTTAGGACACCCTGAACTAGGGGGGAAGAGTTAGCTATCAAAGATAAAGAAAACAGTTTGGACATTTTCAGAATAGATATATTTCTTGAGCATCTAAATGCGCAGATTTTAAGAGATATGACTCTTACTCTTGTTTTTCCCAGAGTTATGGTTTGAGACTCATTTGTAGGATCTTCTGGCAAATTTTCCTTATCTTGTAGTATAAAAGGATACTTAGTAAGTATTTGTTGAGCTGGGGATCATGGGGATCAGAGATGGTCAAACTTGAACCACTTTTGCCTTTGGCAAGTGGGTGGCTGTTGAGTGATGGCATGGGCCCCAGATCAGACCATCAAAGACCAGAGGAGGTCTTTCTGGGAGAGGAAAAGAACATGCTTGGTGGTTACATCAGTTACCTTGAGGCTTGTGTGTGTGTGTGTGTGTGTGTATACACACACACATATATATATACATATATATATATATGCTCTCTCACCACTCAGAAGCATATAAAATATGTAAATACACACATACACATACACACACACACCTTTCCACTACTCAGAAATATATTTTATTTTACATTTTTTTTTTTAAAGACAGGATTTCACTCTATCTCCCAGACTAGTGTGCAGTGGTGCTATCATAGCTCGCTATAGCCTCAAACTCCTGGGCTCAAGGAATTCCCCTGCCTTAGACTCCGAGTAGCTAGAACTACAGGCATACACCACCATGCCCGGCTAATTAAATAAAATGTTCCTAGAGATGGGATCTCGCTTCATTGCCCATACTGATCTTGAACTCTTGGCCTGGAGCAATCCTCCTGCCTCAGAGTCCCAAAGCACTGGGATTACAGATGTGAACCTCTGTGCCCAGCTTGGAAATATATTTTAACTGGTATTCACTGAAGATGGCCTTTAGCTGTCACTTTGTTTAAAGGCTTTATTTTTAAAATAATGTGTCTTTTAATAAATCAGGTACCTTCTTATGTATCAATAGCTTAATCTGGTAATACTTACTTTATTATCTGTTAGTCCTCATGGGAACTGGGAATTTGTTAGTTCACTGGACATCTCAAGGTTCCAGGATACTGAGTGTCTGGATATTTGTTGAATAAAGAATGACCTAGGTGGCTGATGTGTTTCTGTTGTGCTAGAAGGGGTCAGTAAATTTTGGAAACTTTGTCAAATTCTTTCAGGAAAACGTGTAAGACATGATCCTATGATTTCTCTTGTTAGCTATGATCTCTTGTCATGTGTTACTGAGCCTTAATATCTTTACCTATAAAATGGGGCTAATGGCATTTCCTTCTTGGGATAACTGAGGATTCTAGAAGGTAATATGTAAAATGGCTAGCGTATGTACATTCTCAATACAAAGTTAGTAGTGGTGATGATTGTTACTGCTATTGGTGCTAAAGATATAGACTGCTAAAATACAGTCAGTTCTCATTATTTTTGTTTTATCAAGCTGCTACAAATACCAAATTAGCGAATACTGAAAGATTACCAGTAGGGATATACAGGATAAGTTCCTTAGAGCCTCTGGTCACAACATTTAATCAATCCATCAATAGATAACTTTATTTTATGTGTGTTGTGGTGTAAAGACACATTATTTAATATATATTGTTGATTCATTAACATTGAACTCATGGCCAGCAACACTATAACTTCACTGACTTAGGAACACTAGACAGCACTTTAGCACTAAGTTTGGGTGCCATATTGAATAGGGGAGTCACCAACAAAAACACAAAAGTGCAAAAAATATGGCACTACATAGACTGTGAAAAGGACACTTGTTTACAATATGATGTGACATCTGAAAGGAGAAGGCAGACCATCACCTTGTTTGACCTCAGTTGGTAACGTGAATGTTGGGAGGCTCAAATTTCTTGCTGTTCTGTGCATGTGATTGATTGACTGTAAAAACTTTGAGAATATTGATTTTGGGGTTACAAATCAATACTTTTAGTAAGTAGGTGAATTTGCAAGTGAGGAATCCATGAATAATGAGTGTTGACTATATTAAAAACTGTTTTCTTGCATCTGTATTTCTCTAGTGGTTTTTCCTCTGGACTAAAAAGCTTACCCATTGGGGAAAATATTTTAAAACACTGTCTGTTCAGATGTTGTGGATTACAAAGGAAGTCACATTAATAAAGATTTTCCATGTATCTGATCTCTTATTTTTATCAGTTTGTTTGCCAATAAAAATGGCTCATCATTTCCAGATCTTGAAAGTTAACTGAGGCTTCACTGTTCATATATGGTAGAATTTTGATAGAATTTTGATCGTTCTTTAATAAGGTGGAGTGTGAGAGTGGGGACCTGGAAAAAGAGCACAGAGAGATAATGGGACCATTGCTGAAAAATCCAACAAAAAGCAGTAGGATGACACAGGGTAGATGAGCCCCCAATCTGGGGCTTAGCCTGGGAGGGTTCTTAGCATTGTTCAGGAAAGAATTCAAGAATGAGCTGGTGGTGGAAAAATGCAGGTTTAATGAAGCAACAGTGTACAAGAGAGTAGCTGCTCCTTGCAGAACAGGGCTAACTCATAGGCAGTGCACCCAAAGTAGCAGTGTATGGGCTGTAGACTGGCAATATTTATACCCACTTGGAATTACATGCAAATTGAGTGGTAGGTTATTCAGAAATCTTTTGAAAAGGGGTGGTAATTTTGGGGGGTTGCCTTGGCATTTGTAAACTGTCATGGTGCTGTTGGGAGTGTCTTATGCTGATGAGCAGTGAGGGCATCTAGAGGTTGCCTTTGGTGCCATTTGCTAGTTCTGGTATGTTTCTTCATTTCATCCTGTTGAGACCAGGCAATAAGTCCGTATAGTCTCCTACTTCAAAATGGCTTCCCAATTCTGGTGTAGGCAGTTCTTGAGGTAACCAGGCTCAGCCTACTCAGTGCCTAGAGGATAAAGGTGATGATATTGACTTCTGTAAGCATTGTAAATCAGCATATTATAGTTATCAGAATGATCATTGTTCTAAACATTAACTGAGTACTTGCTGGGATTGCTTGGAATTCTTTTCGAAAAAGGGAGAAAAGAATTGGTTTCAGTAGGTTCTATACTTTCAAGTTGCATAGCAGATAGATCACACAATTTAGTGACAACAAAGAAAACACAAAGAACAGGGCCGGGCGCTGTGGCTCACGCCTGTAATCCCAGCACTTTGGGAGGCTGAGGCGGGTGGATCATGAGGTCTAGAGATCGAGACCATCCTGGACAACAAGGTGAAACCCCGTCTCTACTAAAAATACAAAAAATTAGCTGGGCACAGTGGCACATGCCTATAATCCCAGCTATTCAGGAGGCTGAGGCAGGAGAATTGCGTGAACCCAGGAGGTAGAGGTTGTGGTGAGCCGAGATCGCGCCATTGCACTCCAGCCTGGGTAACAAGAGCGCAACTCCATCTCAAAAAAAAAAGAAAACACAAAGAACAATAATAATAACAGTAGCATCTAGCATTTTTAAAGCCCTCCTTACAGCCTATGCCTTGTGTTAGTGCTTTAGCCTACCTTTCATATATTTCTATAGTGTTCTTATGTATGATACTGGGGGTAAGGAAGGTACCTATGTAATTTAAAAAATTCTGTGTTAGAAAAATGAAAAAACAGAAACATCAGGAATTAATAATTTACATCTAGGTGAGTTATAAATATAATATGGCACTACTGTCTACCAGGTATGGTATTTAAGTGTTTTGTACAGTATAATTCTAATATGAGGTAGATAGGATCCCATTTTATAAACGAAGGACCTTGTGCTTGTCTGTCTTCTGTCACTTGTCTATCTTAAGTTACTCAAATAAGGTAGAACTGTGATTCAAACTGAGGACTGTCTGACTTAAAAGCTCACTCTTTTATTCATCATGCTGCAGTGGTTTCCATGTATTTGGTGTTCAGAGGTTTGGAGGGAGAGGCAGGAGTGATCAGGGGTGACAACTCATGTTGATTTTGGAATGGAAAGGAGACTAGGTTTCTTATGAAGTAAAGGCAGAAGACTCAGGGTGTGGTTAAACATTCAAATCCAAAATAAATAGTTATATCTATTAGAGGTGCTCATAGCATGCCTATCTGCATAGTTCTTTGTTTCCAAAGCTGCTTCTGAAAAAGGAAAGAAAGTAGGCTATGAAGGCTCCAAGAAAGATAGCAAAAGATAGAATGGTGGATACTTAATCATTCACAAGGATGAGGTGTATAAGTAAATGGTAGATTTTTCTCATTTCTTATTAATGATCTTCAAATGTTGCTACTTGAGGACATTAAGTTGTCTACATACCCATCCTGTGTTCTACTACTGAACATGGACATGTAGCTCCTAACATCTGGATGTTTTCACTCGTCTCTCTCTTTCTCCCTCTCTTTTATTTTCTCCTAACCTGACTTGTTAATTGCTTTTTTTGTGTATGTCTTCATAAATTTATAGCCAGTCTGTTCCATTCTGGACTGTTTATCTTTAACATGCCAGAGGTCTTGAAACATCATAATGTTGTGTAATGAGCATAACTTCTGCCTTGACTTGTGGGTGTTAAGAGCATTAGTCAGTGCAAAGTATTGAGTTAAATATTTTCAATGAAAGGATATAATGATCTAACATAGAGGAAGAAGTTATAAAAATCCTAGTTAATGGCATTAATGGTGAGCCATATACTTAGGGGGTTCCTTCTTTGATAAGTTAGAGATTCACAGAATGAATGTAAAAGCATTCTTACTCTGAATTAATGACAGAGGAGAAAGACCAACATAATAAGAAAAAAAGGACTTAATTCTCATCCATACCAAGAAAAGTGTAAGCATCCAAGTTCCCAGCGATTCTAATCCTGATTCATTACCTTGCATGTGTCTTTAGTTATCTCAAGAAATGTTAAAGATTTCCATGAGATATTATGGAAAGGGACTCCTGGGCTGCATCATAAGCCTGATTGAAAGCTCTTAGCCTTGTAATGATCTCTTCTTGGAGGACCATCAGGGAATTCTTTGCAGCTCTATCAGAGAGTCAGGGCTTTCCTGAGCAAACAAACTAGGTATTTACCTACAGAGCTGATTTTATGAAGAGTTTTGGTCAGCATTAGTCATTGTGAAACTATGGGCCTCCTGCCCTGGTTAATCTCTACAGACATCTCCCTACAGTAGAAGATTGAATCCTCATCTCTCCATGAGTCTGAACATCTAAAGATGTTAGAGGTACATTAATTTGCTTCTTGCTGGGGAATGTGTATTGTGTCTTCTGGGAATAGTGTCTAGATGAATGTTTAATAATCAATTTAATAGGTTCATGGGCTGTCTTATTTTTTGGGGTTGAAGGTTTAAACCAGGAGGACACTCTGTGATAACTCTGCTCTTTACCTTGCCAGCAAGCCTTAGTTGTCCTGGTAAACAATCTCTGAGTTAAATACCTTTTCTTTTCTGGAGAGGTTACGAACAAAGGAAATGGCTTTGATGTCAGGACAAGGGGCATAAACAGTGTTTATGGGTGCTGTTAAAAATTTTTCATCTGGGTATTTTCAAAAGAATTTCAAGTCAAAATATATCACTTATGGGAAGTACCTTATTTTCCAATATGATATCTTATACAAATTGATAATTATTTTCATGGTTTAAGTAGTAATTAATGACATTTTGGGGGTTGGAAGATTTGTGGGGAGTAGGAGATAGATTTTCATCAGATTTCCTCCCATCCTTTCCTCATGAGGATTATTGATCTCTAGTCCGCATATGTAAGGTGTTGAATTTATTTACTAATGTTATTAACTGAATCTATAGATAAAGAGGTAGTTTTGAATGGGAGCCAAGTAACCTGTTGATGTAAGTCTATTTTACCTTTTATGATTACCATCTAGCACCTCCCTCCTTCCTGGCTGAATTCCCTGTCATTTTAAGTAGGCAGCAATTACTGGTTTACTAAAGAAGCCGGCTCCTGCTGCCAAGGATCCTGTTAATTATCACTCTATCTCTAATTTAGCCTTCCTAGTGTTGAGAGAAGGTGCGTGTAAGCGTGTGGCAGAACGTCTACAATCACATCTTTGTAATAATCTCCTCTCTGAGACGGTTCAGTGGACTCAATGTTCCGCCAAAGGGCCGAGGCGGCCCTGGTGAGTGTTTTCAGCTCTCTTCTGTCGCTTGTTTGGTCAGTCTAGTTTCGTGTGATTGTCCTCTCCTTTTGCTTCTTACCTGAGTGACAGCTAATGGTTGGCATTAATATTGGGAATTCAGACCTATTCCTGCTCCATCTCCGAAGCCAAATGGGACACCTTGAAAATACTTCCATGGTTTTCCCACGGGATATTTTTCTCTCTCTGTGAAAAGGAAACCATGGAATTGACTCTGTGCCTGTTTTCAAGAAGGTAATACAGATGATAGCCAGAGTACCTCAGTTCACAGTTTCTTATATAGCACATTTTTAAAGGTATGTCAATCTTTGTATTATATCAAATCTTTGGTTCTTGTTTATAAATAGCTAGATTGCTTTCCGTTTGTTTTCAGAAATGTTCAGTTCACTTGTTTCAGTGAACATTTTTGCAGAAGTTCCACTGGCTCATTTGATTAGGTTTGGAGTGCTTATGCTTCCTTTTCCACTTTTTATGTTATTTTTGGCAGTGCTGGTGTTTGAAGCTGTAGAAGTGATTCACTGCAAAGTGCATTAATTTTCCACATTTCCAAATGTGTTTTCCAGTGGCCCCCAAATTTATTTTCCTCCTCTCAGATGATTCTGCAGTTGTCCTTCTGTCATTCTGCTGGCTCAAACATAAATGCTGATGTCACTGAATTTCTTAAATTACAGCTGGTGGGGATTAACAGAAATTGTAAAAGAATACCACTTCCTCATTTTGCTATTTTCTTGACTAATTATTATCCTTTCAAGTACTGTAGGAGGATAAGGATTTAGAAATGAATTCTTTGTCTTGCAATTTAAACAGCAATTTTCCTTTTCCTTCTTCTGTTATACTTCAAAAATAATGTAGTGCTTAGGATGCTTCTCTGATGTGCCCTTTAGTAACCCCAGACAGAAGAGTCTCACTCCTGATTTTGTACTTTGGACTGTCTTCCACCCTGGGTGAAGGGTTTTGAATACTTCCCTTAAGTAAGTTTCCTTATATAGAATATTTTTACTCAACAGTTTTTCTCCAACTCCAGGCTGTTACTGGTATTATGTGAAAGGTTGTGATTGCTTTATTCATTTGTTCAGAGCCTTTGCTCCTTTAAGGAATGCTTAGCTCTGTCCTCATCATTTTATTGTTTAGAATCTGTTATTTGTGACAATTTTGATTGCTCCAGCCCTCTCCACATTAATTTTTCTGGCTTGCCTTTCCTTGTTTTAACAGTGAAGTCTGGGCCTCAGGCTTTCTTATCACTTGCTTTGTAGTTTGAGTCATGGTTTCATGAACCTTGTCTTGCGAGTTCTCTGGGCTTCCGTGCCAGACGCTGGAAGCCACCTGGAAGTGTGCACACAGGATGGCTGGGTGCTCCTGGGCGGTATTGACTGAACTGCAGTCCCATGGAAACAGAAATAGAAAGGGTTCAGCATTCACACTTTCCTCTGGTGGCGTTTTTGCTTATTTTGTGTATTTAGAAAAGGTAGCCATATGCAAACTGCTGACTTACTATTTCCCGTGGAATGGAAACCATTTGGATTATTTCAAAGAGTTTTAGCGAAGATTTGTTTGTTCACAGTATTGGTTTTGTTTTCTGGTAGCCTGTTTAGAATAAGACCAGAATGTGTCTTTTTACTTTATGGAAATGAGTGCTTACTTGGTGTTTGGAATTTTGCAAACCAACATGAATTTGAAAAGTCATATGTTTATTCCAGAGTCAAAATAGAAACTCTTTAGTGAAAATTATAGATATTTCCATCTTGGATCATTTACTTTCTGTGAAAAAAATTTTTTTTTGACAAAATTGTTTAAGATTTCAGAGCAATCTCTTATCCTGGTTAATTTTCCCACAAATTAATTTCTCTCAGTTTAAAAAAGTAAAATAAGATTAAACTAAAGAATTGCAGACCAAGATCATATGTGCTGCAATATTTGCTGTAAGCTGGTGACTGATTCTTTGCTGTTGTCTTGCATGAGAGAGTGGATTTATTTTAACTGTTAGTAGTTAAGGTTTGGATTAGAAATACAAATAGAATTTCTTTACCGTAAGACCTCTTAAGCACTGATTTGAGTTTCCGAGGTTAAGTTATGATTATTCAGTCTCTGAAAAATTTGCATTATAAGATTCATATATACTTAGTCAACATTTCCTTCTAGCATTGAAGTGATAAGTTCTTTCAGTTGAGATTTTGGAATAGTATATCTGGAAAATATTTCCCATGCCATTGTAGAGATTTTGGTTAAACGTGAGTTTTAAAAGTTTGATAAATAGAATCAAAAGGGGAAAGAAAATATAGTTATGAATTGGTTGAATTTTTTGGGCTATGAGGTATCTTTTTGAAAACAGTTTTTATGTTATGTAGAAAATGTCACTAAATATAAGAAAATGGAAGTTTAATAGCTGAATGAGGTAGGAATTGGAAAGTTACCATAAGATCGTAACTTAACTGGAGTATGCATTAAACGCATTGATATTTCACTAGCTTGGTGACCATGAATGGTTTTGTTTATCATTTTATCTATCTTTTTTTTGAGATGGAGTCTTGCTCTGTCACTGAGGCTGGAGGGCAGTAGCACGATCTCAGCTCACTGCAACCTCTGCCTCCCAGATTCAAGCAATTCTCCTGCTTCAGACTCCTGAATAGCTGAGATTACAGGTGTGCATCACCATGCCCAGCTAATTTTTGTATCTTTTCTTCTTTTGGTAGAGATGGGGTTTCACTACGTTAGCCAGGCTGGTCTCAAACTCCTTCCCTGTAGTGATCTGCCTGCCTTGGCCTCCCAAAATGTTGGGATTATAGGCATGAGCCACTGCACCTGGCCTCTTTATCCTTTTATCTTATCCCAGAAAATAGCAGTATGCTGGACCTTGTAATTCTTCAAAAAATGTTGAATCAATGAATGAATGAATGCATGTTTGGGAGGCCTAGTTGCAGACCCAGCTGTGCTGCTACCTAATCATGTGACCCTGGGGATCTGTCTTCTGTTATGTACAATGAAGGCTAAATATGGGATCAGGGATAAGTATGTGGGATTGTGTTGCTGCCTCCCTCTGCTGTAGCGTGGTAGATATTGCCAACTGTCAGCTCACCCTTTCCTGTGAACCGAGGAGGAGTCTTGAGCTCTTCTGAATTTAGTGCGTCAGGCTTCCATGATTTACTGTAGATCCAAGACTTACAACTTACTCTACCTTCTCCTTTTGGTTTTGGTCCCTTAAGCCCAGTTACAAATAGGCAGTATTCTATGATGTTTCTTGGTCAGCAGATATTTGTTTAAACAATAGCAACAACAACATGCACCATTATCCCTCCATTCAATAATTTTTCTGATAGATTTAGCAGATATATTAATGGATAGAACTTAATGAATGGGTCTAGACAGTATTCTTCCAGTGGGGTAAGATATAAAGATAGAATTGTATTAGCAGAGTTTTTCGCTTTTACTCTCCAAAGCACATGTCTCCATTGGGTGCACAATTATGGAGCACCTACTGTATGCCAGCACTATGCTATTGATAAATAAATGGCCAGCCTATAATACATGGGCTCTGCCTTTCTGTAACTCACAGTGACATGAATATGATGCTAGGTCTGTAATTATTTCTTTAAGGACAAAAGATGGAGGGACATGTAATCCTGGCACTTTGGGAGATTGAGGTGGGCGGATCACTCAAGGTCAGGAGTTCAAGACCAGGTTGACCAACATGCTAAAACCACGTCTCTACTAAAGATACCAGGAATTATGCACCTGTAATCCCAACTACTCGGGAGGCTGAGGCAGGAGAATCGCTGGAACCTGGGAGGCGGAGGTTACAGTCAACTGAGATTGCACCACTGCACTCCTGTATTACTCCACTGGAAGAATACTGTCTAGACCCATTCATTAAGTTCTATCTATTAATATATCTGCTACATCTACCAGAGCAACAGAGTGAGATTCTGCCTCAAAAAAAAACAAAAACAAAAACAAAAACAAAAAATTATTGCCAAGCAGATGAGAGGAAAGCATTCCAGGTAGACCTAGTATGGAGGTGCAGCATGGTGTGGCACTGAGACAGTCTAAGCATGGATCATGGCTGGAGCACCAGGGAATGTGGCTGGCTTCATGCAGAGGAATAGTGCTCTGGCTGCCAAATGAAGTATGGGTTGGAGGGTGGCCAGGGCTGGTGTTACATAGGCCAGTTAGGATGGTATTAGCTGAACTGTCTTTGTGAGTAACGATGATACACATGCACTGTTCAGCCTTGACGATAGGTTGTGATTGCAAGAGGGTAAAAACCTTGTTAAAGATTTCAAGGGCAACAAGGACAAAAGTTAGGCTATGTTTACTGCTTACTGCTAACAATAAAGTGACAGCTTGTTCATTCCTTTGTCATGTAGGTGGTGGAAAAGGGTTCCCCTCCTTTCCTGAAGTTGATTTATAGTTTGACAACCTGTTCTCTGCCCTCTATATGAAATTTTGCATAAAGTTAGATAAGAAGATAAGCCTCAAGATCTGTGCCTTATATGGAGCATGCTTGCATGTACACAAAGACACATGCTCGCATACACACCTTCCTCCCCTAATAAAAGACACCTGTCTTCATTCCGTAGGTAGACAAGCACCTAGAATAAGGCATATGAGGATTCCCATAAGAAAATCTGCTCCAGGAAAAGTTTAGGTATCTTTTCATATTTTCTGAACACTGATATTTTAATGGAATAATTCTGGCTGTTTCCAAGAAGAAAAATCTTCCATATATAATTTGGCTTTGGTGGCTGCTTCAAATTAGCCATTGTGTCTGTATTCTAGGTTATTACCAGTGTTTGGGATTCACGCACAGAAGCAAGAATTTGCCATGAGGCAGAAGACTGGTTGACACTAGATAAACAGCTTATTTTAAAGAGATGTTTTGGTACAGAAATGGCAGTAACAACAAATTCCTTCCCCTAATAGAAATCTTCCCCCTATTCCCTATCCAATCCAGAATCCTTCTGCCTTGAGGCAGAAGACTGATAAGG